TCACAAATAGTGGAAACCTTCTGAACTATGATCCTTAGGAATCGATGGAACCTTTGGTACTTGCCCAGAATACAGTTGTGCCCCATCCCCTGTCTCTGGCTGTGCTTTTCCATGTATCATTTTATTTATGTGCTTTCTATTCATAACCCTCAAATTCAGAATCTTCTCATTAACAGACTCCTAGTACTGGCCAGTATGGCTATTTACCAGTTTAGATGAGGACAGGCCATATGCAGTGCCTGAAAGGCCAGCATGGGTGCCCCTGCAGCCACTTCTCACAGCTGCAGAGCCCCAGGAAACCCATGCACTGCTGGTGCTTTCTGTGCAGCAGGGTGGCCCTGGCACTGCCCATGTAGCAGGGGCGTGGAAGGCTTCCAGTGCTGCCTGTGTGGCAAGAGAAGTGGCTGCACACTGCCCATGCAGTCCACATGGTGGGGGGCACAGAGGGGACAGGGGGACAGCATGCCTCTGACGATGCTGCATGGGGGGTGGGGAGGGTGCTAAGGATTTGTGCACCACTGACTGACCACATGGCAGAGGGTGGGAGTATGAACTCAGAGGCCCACTGCAACAGGGTGTGGCTGGCATGGTGTGCAGCCTGGAGGTTGCACACTGATGCTACATGTGGCTCCCAGATGGGAATTTGGACATCCCTGGTTTAGATGAAGGAGGTTGAACAAGGTGTTGAGAGTTGTTTGTAATGCGAGACATTTCTTTTCAACTGTTTGCCTATGCATCTCAGTTGAATTCCATAGGCTACATTCACTGTCTTCTGCTTGGATTCCTTTGTGGGTGCTCTGTGTAATGTTGCCTTCTGAGACCGTAATTTTGGCCCTAGAAACTCAATCCCATTCTTGTTTTTATATTCTTTGTTCCTTTTAATTAGTTGATCCCTGGTCTTTCTTGTGTGCCTTTTTTCTTGGGGGGGAGGGGGTGAGGCGATTTTTTTACATTTCTTTTCAGTATCATACAATGTGATAGTAAAAGCACCCCTTTATATCACAGTGGGTGCATCTACCAGTGCAATTAGTGCACATGAATAAACTCCAGAGCTTACTGCTCCTGAGTTGTTTTGCTCCTGGGCATGCTGGTTGAACGTGTGCATGGGAACAATTAACTCCAGAACAACCAGATCCGGAATTTATTTATGCACAGCACGTGCAGCCCTGTCAGAGCAGCCCCAGCTGGCAGGGGGCCCCAAGAGTTAGCCTGCCAGCCCAGGGCTTCTCCGACCAGACTCAGTTACAGCTATGAAGTTCACTAGTTCTAATTAGTGTCTAATTGTCATCCATCTTTAGAAACTAATGTTACGTGTCACATCAGCAGTTTTGTGCCAATTCACTTTCAGCTTATGATTCTACAGACTAGTGAATATGGCTTCCACTGTTGACTGTGTTATTAAGGCGTTTGTCAGAATGAGAGAGAGAGCAGGAGAGAGAGAGAGAGAAATCTTAGGATTTTTATTATAGGTTCTTTGAATATTTGGGGTTACTCACTCAATTACCCATTTTGCCAGTGAATTACTATAAATCTTAAAAAGGTACTCTTAGTGTAGAATTAGTTGTTGGAGCCTTCCACAAGTGTATGGGGAGGCATGGTTGCATTCCCAGTGTAGGGCTCTTTAAGAATAGTTCATAACTTAAAGCCATCTGTCTGCAGACAGCAGGAGCCAACACTGAATATGTTCAAATGTAAAATAATGACTTCACAGCAAAAATGGCTAAAAACAAATATATATATAGAAAACACTAGGAAATTTAAAAGTTGATTTAGAGTGCGCAAAAACTCTACATGCATACACTTCCAGTGACCCCAGTGGTAGCTTCTATAACTTTTCTTTGTGAAGAATAAAAATGGCCAAGTCATATCAGTCACCTCTCTGGGCTATTAAATTCACACGGAAAGGAAACAGCCTTTCCATAGTATACTTGCCATTGATCTTTAAAGAGAAATGAAAGATGTATTTTTTATTACTTATTATAAATAAGAAAGTCTAAAAGATGTGGGGTTCTTTTTTACAGGTTTTTTTTTTTAAACACAGACTATGGTAGATCTTTACCTCCTTTTGTTTTCCTGGAAGCTTGAAAATAAATGCGATTATTATGTTATTGGGAGCTGAATGCTTGTGAGAGGAAGGGTTTTGAGTAAAACTGTTTAAAACTTTGTTTTGTTTATTCCTTTTGTTAACATATACAGTACTCAGACCTGTGACAGGCTGGGAAGAAAAACTGTTTCTGTGGATGGTTCAAGATCTCTATACACGTTTAACTAAAGGCTGAGAACATTGCCACTCCAAGTCTCATGGGAGTACTCTAGCAGAAGCAGAGAAAATGCAACTTGATATTTCTGTTATTCTAAGATAAAATAAGAAGTAAAAAAAAAAAAGCCTTTGACACCTTCATCTTCTCCTGTTCCCTTTCCCCCTCCCCATAATCCCTTTCAGCACCCCCTTACTTTAGGTTTTTAGTAAAGAAGCAAAACCATTCAGGAATATTTATTTTGTTTCCCTTTGTAGGTCCCTTACCTTTCACTGCAGTCCATATAACATTTGCTATGATTGTCATGGAAGCAGAAAGGATGATAGGCAGGCACAAATGTAAGCACTTCTGGCACTAATTGAAGAAGATTAGTCCTTTTATTATGGAGATATAACAAATGTGGTGGATGTGTATGTGCCTGTGAAGAGGGAGGAGGGTTCATAATGCCAGAAGACAGGAAGAAAGATTTTACTATCAAAGCAAACTTTTTGTTTTCTATACAAAAAAGCAACTCTCAGGTCAACTTCTAGGCCAGCTGCTTACTGATGCCTTCCGTCTGAGTTATGCTGTAATCTTATGGCATCTCCTGTAAAAGGCTATGGTAAATGAATAGTAATATCTTGGAAGAAATACAGGCCAGGCCACTTGGTAGAGGAAATCTGTGGCTGTCAAGACCATCTATGCTAATTGAAATGCTCTAATTATATAATATTAGCATATGGGGCTGCAGTTGTATACAGTTCTTTATATAGAGAATAAAGATATGTAACCCCATTTTTCAGAAAGCACTGGGCATCCATGAGCGAAGTCAGTACATGCCTCAGTTGATGAGCGCCCTGGAAAATGAGGCCAACGGTTTCTGTTTAAAATAAAATGGGACATGGATAGTGACATATCAGACAAGAGTTGAGGTAAGGGGAATGTACAAAATGTGATTATGAGACTGTTTAAGTGTATGTGGTGCTATTTCTGTCTCTCTAAGCATTTGCATTGAGCTTATCACTGGAGTATCTGATCACATAGGCATCATATTTGTGCTTTATTATTTTAATCTATAAATAAACAGAAGGTTGGCACAGTGGAGTGAATTATTGTTAGAGGGTATGTGGCTTTAGAGGAGGGATCTGAAAAAGAAGATGGAAGTCATGACACAGGCAATCATGGAGGATACTGAAGAGCAAAAAATTATGTTGAAGGAAGTATGGCAGGGCTTCTGGGAAAAAGAAACAAAGAAGAGAGATGAATGGTAGAGGACAAGTCGAGTATGACAGATGATACAGGCAGGAGCAGAACATCCAGAGCCTTGACAGCAAAGGCAAGGATTTTGCATTTCCTTAAATTTGTGATGTAGAGGTAGTCGCAGTCAGAGAAAGAAGAGAGGGAAATGACATACCCAGAGTGGGGGAGAAAAATATGATTTCAGCACCAACATTTTAGATGGATTGGAGGGAATAGAAGCACTTATCAGGTGGGCCTGAGAAGAGTACTCCTAGCAAGAAATGTCAGTGCATAGGCAAAGATTTTAGCAGCAGGGATTGAGATGAGAAGATGGTTCCTGAAGTCATAATAGGGGAGAAAACAGTACCTTTTAGCAGTTACCTAAATGTGAGGGGTGGCAGTAAGAGGCAAAATGAAAAGGAGGGAGAAGTATCAACACCTGAAAATGAGAGATGAAGACAGTGCATATTAAAGAGATAAGGAAAGGTGGAAATTGGTTCTCAATGTGGAGGAGGATAGAGCTCTCCTCTTAACATGTTGAGTTTAAAATATCCGAGAAGCAAGATTAGGGAAGCACCTGCAAATGCAAGACCAAAAGGAATAGAAGATGATAGTACAGAAGATTAGACAATGTAGGTCTTCAGATATATCTGGGTGTTGAATGGGGATGGGAATGAAATGATGAAGGAGAGCAGGGGTAAGAAGTGCAACCACTAATTGAAAGACACTGGGAAAGTGGCTCAAGAAGTAAGAGGAAAAATTGTATAGAAGGAAAAATGCAAGTAGAATGGTGTAACTGAAAGAGATGTGACACACAGGTCATGGAGAATGGGAAGAGGCCTTGGACTTGACCAACAAGTGGTCGTGTGTGTAGTGTTGGTGGAGCCAAGGGAAAAGAAACAAGACCATCAAATAGAATTAGCAGTGAGAAAAAACAAGACGGTCAGGAAAAACAAATGCCTAAAAAGCTTAGAAGAGATGGAGAAATGAAATGGTGGTAAGAGTCAGACCAGGGTTTAAAAAGGACTGATTTTTGGGAGATAATGGTATATCTGAAAGCAAAAGGGCGTACATGAATTAAATACAGAAATATCTTCTAGAAAATTCATTAAAACAGAAGTATCTAATGAGCATACTAGCTGTTGGAAAAGATTTGCATTATTGATTAAATAAAGCACAAGGTAAACAATGCTGCAACTACACTGTAGCTTTGAGACTAACAATACAAGACTAAGCATTGCACCTCTGAGTCACTGGCTTCATTCTGGAGCAGGCTTTTAGTGATTTCAAGTTGTTACCACCTGATGGCTGTTCTATGGTCCATGTGAAATGAGTTGGTGTGTTCCAGTTTTTAGAGAGCAGCTATCCACATTAAAGAAATAACCATTGGTAATTACAAGCCATTTACACTAATTAGCATCCTCACTGAACGTTTCAGTGGAAAGACTGATGACTGAATTGTAGGCATGGGATATACCCTCTCATCTTATATCTACAGCCCCTGCAGGGTTAGGTCAGGGTTGAAATATGTTGCCATTGCAGATGAAGGATTCTTATACTGCTGCTGTTGCCTGGGGTATGTCATTCCTGGTTCACATTTTTAGAGTGGCTAGTGGTTTTATTTTTTTTTATAGCTTCAGTTTTAGGTGCCTGATGAAAGCCTGATTTTGTTACAAGAACAGAGGACTAGCAGTTCCCTCTGATATAGCACACAAATGCACTTCAATCCTTCGAAAGGAAAGCACTCAAGCCCACTAAAATGTTTTGCTTCCTGATATTATTGTTGTAGGTTTTTGTCTTCATTTTTCCCTTTCTTTCTACAGCTGATAAAAACAAAAAACAAAAAACTCCTCCAAAATATACACATTGGACAGATGCCTCTCAATGGTTTATTATTTCTTTTACTGCTGGATAAGAAGATCATGTGGCTGAAATTTGATAACTAGCTATTGCTGTAGTACAGTTTTCTGAAGGCAACAAGGCATAGGTTAAGGAGGAAAAAGCAAACAAACCTTTGATCTCTTCCTTATCCTCTAGTTTTGCCAGTCATTTGTTGACTTTACATCATGTAATATCCCTGTAACTAAATACATAGGAAACAAGTTACATCAGCTAATTGATTGACACCAATAGCAAACGTGCTATCAGCTTGATCTTGAGCAATTCCAATATCTCCAGGCTATTGCAAATTTAGGGTATTCAAGACTGATGAATTAAAAATGTTTAAAATGAATGAAAAGAGGGATGCTACTAGGGACAGTCAGACTGTGGAAAGATAACAGGCAATTTGAGATAGGCCTTTATTTAGCAACATAACCCTCCTAGCAGTAAATCAGCATGATATACAATTATGGTACTGCCACAAGGCTAAGGTAAGTGATAGTATGTAGTTTTGCTGCCTTAGAGGCAGATCAAAGACCAGATATTGGCTCAGATTAGCAGTCTGATCCTTGATTCCTCTTCCTTTCTATGGGGAACCTAATATACACCTGCTCTGTATCTGATGCAGACTACATCTCCTTTAAGTATATATTCATTCTACCTACGCTTTTTTGTAGCTTTCATCTCAGTAGTATTTGAGTGCTTCACTAACATTAATGATATATAGAAATCATAGAAAATTAGGATTGGAAGGGTCATCTAGTCCAACTCCCTGCTCAAAGCAGGACCATTCCCACCTATATCATCCCACCCTAGGCTTTGTCAAGCCAGATTTTAAAAACCTCTGGAGATGGAGATTCCACAATCTCTTTGGGTAACCTGTTCCAGCACTTTACTACTCTCCTAGTACTGAGTTTTGCCTTATATCTAACCTAATAGTCCCTTGCTGCAACTTGAGACCGTTGCTCCTCTTTCTGTCATCTGCCACCACTGACAACTGTCTAGCTCCACCCACTCTGTAAACACCCTTCAGGTGTAATTTTTACATGTTCACAACTCTCCTCTGAGATGAGGGGGAATTAGTACTTAGATTTTACAGATGGATAATGGAACACAAAGAATAATGTATTCATAATTTAGAATACCAATTTTAAGATGTCCAGGACCTGATTTTTCAGGCTTCTTAGCATTATATAGTACTTCATAGATTCAAAGCACAGCTCCACTAGTTTCAGTTGCAACTGTGCATTCTCAGCGCTCTGCAAACAGACTCCAGGGTCTCAGGCCTGGGAACTAGAAATGAGGAATACACAATTAGTGGCCATCCTGCTTCTGCACTAAATGAAGGGGGGCTCTTCAGACAACAGTCTTGTACTATGTAACCCTGATTCAGCACCAAAGCAGTTCTAGTCCATTCTGAAAACTGAATGAGACAGTGCATGGCCATGTATTTAAAGATTATCATGTTGCTAACCCAAAAAAGGGCCAAGCTAAAATGTCTCAAACAATCTTAATTCTGGCATTTCCTAACTTTTAAGTGTTTGACATTGCAACCCCAGCAATGTCCTTTTAACATAGATTATTATATACACCTGCATGCATGGGGACACCCCCCCCCCAGTTTGTGCATAAGATAGATGCTGTACTGTAATCAAGTTTAACTTTGTTGGAATGGCAAATGGGTAGAAATATAATTCAATTGTATTGTCAGCTGTTACAAAGAGTTCAGAGTTTTCATTCAGTCTATCCTCTGTTTGATAAACACGAAAGCATTGCCTCTTTAGGCTAAAATTCCGGAGATGCTTATAAAAGTTGAGGAGGCTGAGAGGGAAAGGGAAGTTTGGTCTTTCCATTATAATCTACTAGTGAACAGTTGTAAAACAATCATCAAACACTTAAGTAATCTAAATCACGTAATTTCAGGAATGCTTCTAAAGAAAGGTTATGGCCAGAGAGAATAACCAGTGTGGGCGTGTCCAGGTGAACAGGCACATGCACTTTGCCGTGCCTCAAATGCATGTGGTGCATGTCAAAAGGTTCTCTGCACTGCAATGTGGAAACAAAATTAGATATAGGGAAATCCTAGTATCTAAAAAAAAAAAAAAATATTTAAAAACACTGGGGGTGACACACATGGCAGCAGCAGGCACCACCCAAAACTGGAGCCTGGCTGTCCAGAGCTATGCTCTAGCTGCTGGCACTTGGATTGCTGCCATTGGAGCCCTGGGAGGCCCTCAGGACCCAGGTAAGTCTGCTGGGGTCAGTTCAGGTGCTGCCCCCAGCTTCTCCTGCCCCACTTGCGGCAATTTGCTGCGTGCCTGAGCATTCCCCAGGGACAAATAGCAGCAGCACATAGTTATCCTGCTGTTATTTGTCCCCAGGGAAACGAACATGCATACTCATCTGGACACACCCTATGCGTCTGCCTAGTACTGAGTAGATATAGAACACTAAATTAAACACTGATTAATCTCTCTCATGGAGGATCTTTTTATCTTGTTGTATCACTTCTTTACTTATGTTTTCATAAACAAGATCTCTTATTTAGGCTAATTTTTTATTTTCATTTGTATAAACAAAACTGTCTGGGATAGATGGGCTAAAGCTTAAAGCAAGCAAGAGACAGCTTCTTTCTGAGTATAGTTCTGTGTAAGGATTGTGAGTCTTGATCCAATTGAAGTGAAACCTTATATTTTCCTTGCCTTCCCTGCATAGTAAATCATAGGGAAGATTTGTTTTCTTATTTCTCTCCCTGGGAAAAAAAACAAATAGGGAAAATGAAAATGTCAAAAGTTTTATTTTTGGTTGATTAGCCAACTATAGTCACCTTCTAACAAGTTTCTTTTACTTTATATGCACTGAATGAAAATGAAAGGACTTTACACTGTTAACTGATTCACCCAGGATAGAGATGCCTATTTAAAAGTTCCTCATCAGTAATGTAACATTGGACTGGCAAGCGGGGAACAATCCTATGGTGCTGCCTAAGAAGGGGTCATTTGAATGGAACAAGGCAATGTTTCACCCTCCTGCCCTCATCAGAGGTTCACTACTGCAGGGAAAGATATTATCTTTTTTTGTCACTGAAAACCAATGGGTTTTTTGACCTCAATACATGTCATCGGCAAAAAAAAGAGAAGACATCTCCCCTAGCAGCTCTGGCCCTTGCACTGTGGCTGCTGCTCTGCCTTCCCCACTGCTGGATTGTGAACTGGAACCACAGTAGGGAAGGTACAGGGCATGTTTGGGGGGGCAGCAGTACTGCCCAGGTTGCAGTACCTCCCAGTTACACCTTTCGTCTTCATTGCCATAAATGCATAGGGTCAGAACCTGCACATCATAAATCACATTAGCAGTTCCTTTGGTTTCAGTGACTGGCAGGATTTGTCCCTTCAGTAAAAGAACCAACCTCTGCAAAAAAAAATAATGGACCTTTTTTAAAAGTGCTGCGGGTACATAATTTAGAGATTATTACCTTTTATTATTTATTCTCCAGCAGCTTTTCAAACCAATCTTATGTCTCATAACTGCTAAGGCAAACTTCAGCCTCATGCAGACTCTTGTCGCCACACATGCACAAGGATCTGAGCTAATGCAGCATTGGATCCTAATATTATGCACAATATAATTGGCAAGTAATAAGACAATGAGGGATGACAGCAGGGAACATCAATAAGATTATGTGGTTACACAGCAAGGGCTTGTGCTTGGCATAATAAAGTTAAGGGATATTTTTTGTTTGTTTTATTCAAAGCTGATGTCATATTTAGCTAACTAAATTCAGGTATCATGAGAGAGGTGGATCTTAAGGAAAAGCTTGAAGGAGTGCAGGAGAATGGCTTTGCAGTTCAGGAAGGGTGTGCCATGCAGAGACAGCTGTGGGAGAACAGGGGACTGAGGTATGTGTCTGTGCAGAGCAGAGAAGGCAGGGGTTGTTGGCTGCCATAACAGGGCTAAGTAAATAAAAAGTTGAAGATGGTACTGGAGTGGAGATGTGGCCTTGTCCTGCACCACTGAAATCTATGATAGCTTTGCTATTAACTTCAGTCAGAGCAGGATCAAGGCCTCAGTCCTGACCTTCTCAATTTACCTCTGGTTGAGAGAGAGAATTCCAGAGACTTTCAGGCATCATTTACATTTTCAGCAAATGGGCAATAACTAACCATACTCTGTGAAGTGTGAATTTTCATTCACATGTTCCATCTGGGAGCACACTTCAAAGAATGTTTTCAATTAGCATGGTTTTGAAGAGTCAGAGGCTGAGTTCATGAGCAAAGATTGTAACTTGCTTGTAAAATATTAGCATTTTAGTATGTTGCATACCACTGCCATGATGGCCTCCAGGGGAATATTGGAAATCCCTTCATCTCACGTGTAGCATGACAGTTGCCTTTTTTGGAAATATTTAAGAGTAGCGCATATTTGGTACTTCTGTTACTTTAGTAACCCTCATTCAGATGAGGGAGATAACACTTTCTATTTGTTTTTTATGGAAGGAAAAAATGAGGCAGGAAAATTCAGAACCATAAAAGGGGAGATGGGCAAAAATGCATGATAAAAAATAAATGCCCCAGATACACATTACACTTAACGACATGAATAACTGGGATTGTGCATCAGATCTTATTGCACCTTCTTTTTAATATCTGTCAGTGGCCAAAAATATTATGCCACTGCGAAGATGTTTCTTGTTTC